TGTGCTAACTGCAATTCGGTGGAGCACCGCATGAAGGGGTGTAGCTAAAAGCAGGAGTATTAATTGCTCTGAAGCGAATACAAAGTTCGTCCTCAAGCTGAACACAAACCATGGAGCCTGGAAAAAACGTGTCCCTCGAATCAACCGGAGCTGGACCGTATTTGGAGAATGACTGAACTGACAACATTTAGATCTTTATCAATTGCTGTTGAGTTTTGTAAGCCGTTTGATGGACAATCTCCAATTTGCTGTGAATAATTTACATTTTCCAATAATATTTAGGGTTCGTTAGTCATCTGGATAGAGAACTCACATTGGTCCGCGGTATAGTCTCCTGCTGTTGACTTAAAATCTGTGGTTTGCAGTCGGATTAACACTCTTTCCCTGTGGGATTGGGCTCTGACTGAGTCTCATGTTCCAGCAAGCTTCTTTTGACCATCGCGTGACTGTGTTGCTCTTGATAGTGCTTTACTCGAGACTATGTGCCAGTGACCTTGTTCTTTAGTACGTCTTTTTTGTTTAATAACTCACGGGGAGAATCGATTTTCTACGTTCTTGATTCGTAAAAACTAGTAATCCTCAAAATGTAAACAGGTGGCTATCCAATCATCGTTCCGTACGTTCTTTCCCATTGATCTTCTGGTGTGTCGATTTAGTCAACATTGATGGCAAGTTGCTCCACAAGCATGAACTTACGTTGGTCTCCGTCTTCACGAACTCCTCGCTTTGCGACTTTAAATTACTGCTTTCGAAGTATTGCTCTCTCCTGCTCTGAATGCTTAATTATAACTCACGTACTAGTAGCTTTGTGGATTCCCATGATAAAGTGGATTAATTAATGATTCCCCCCCCCCCGCAAATTTCACCGCTTTATGGTGAAATTTGCAAATATAGATCTATCTATCTAGCTATATTTGTCAAAGTTGATTGTTCTCGAGTATTCTAACATGGAACACTCGAGTACTCTAACATGGAAAAACAAGAACCGAAAAATATCNCCCCCGCAAATTTCACCGCTTTATGGTGAAATTTGCAAATATAGATCTATCTATCTAGCTATATTTGTCAAAGTTGATTGTTCTCGAGTATTCTTTCTGTTCTCTAACATGGAAAAACAAGAACCGAAAAATATCAACAAATCATGATGTTGACAGTTTAAAAATATGTTCTTTTTAAAAAGAAAAATTGTGACGGAAAAAAATATGACAAATCTTCTTCAGCTACTAAAGATAATCAACAGAGATAATGACTATCACTTACTAGTTTATAGACGCATAAAAAATAAAAGATAAGTGTTCCTTAGGTGCAAGATAAGACAAAAATTGTTTTCAATTTTTATCTGAATTCCTTTTTTTTTTCTCCGATGCAAACCATCGCCCTTTGGCTTTTAGTCATTTCGACTCACGGAAGTAAAATAAACATTGTAATTTTATTTGTTTTATTTTTATTGAATACATTGAAGGCCTATAAATAAATTGTTAATTTTTATGGGTTTTTGAAATACAAATTTTTTTATCGTGATATTTTGTGTTTCATTTCGATTTGAAAGCATGAAATGAAATTTTCTAAATGTTCCAAAGGCAATGAATTTTTTTTTTACTACAATCAACTACTATTGGCGATCGCAACACTCGAATACGCCATCTGGGGAGAGACCGGTTTCATGCTTTTAGCCCTTCTCCCTTCCCTCTCCTCCTCTTTTCAGTTGTATAGGAATGTACTACGCTATTTTCCCTTTTATTAATGTTTTTCCTTTTTAATTAATAAAAATATTTTTTAAAACTTCCGTGATACTTTTCCTTAGAACTATGTTTAATGTAGTTTTCAGTTCCATATAGTTTTCCACTTTAAAAGATTTTAATCTATATGAAAATCGAGAGAGAAACTAATGTACTTCTTCCTCCATGACTTTCCACACGCTAATGGTGAAAGCATGTGAAGTGTTGCCATAGGAAGAGAGTTCTGCTCTACGCCACCTGCGGCCCATTTCGATCGCCAATTTTACACTCACTACTATATTACCACTCAACCATCATTTTATATCTATTTATCTGATTATATATATATATATATCCCTAAACGAAAGAACTTCTTCTGGTGNAATATTATCCAATATATATATCCACAGCCCATATTATATAGCTTTTATAACGAAAAGAATTTTTTCAACAGCTCATTGTGGAATAAGGGATCGTAGAAATTAAGGCTTCACAATATCGGGACCAACGCACGATGCTGGCCATGTGGTCACTAGTATGTGGCACCAACTTTTAACACGTAACACAACTTTTACACGACTATATTCATAACTTACAAAGTCATTGGAGTTGGAATTTATATAAGATTTGTCCCCTTTAGCCTATATTTTTAAGCTATTCTTTAGCCTAGACCAGATAGATCCTAGATAAAATTGTCTGAGTCTATCTAGGTCCGTCGTGTCAAAATCAGGTTTCACCAATCAGGTTCTTTTTCGCCAGCGAAAAAAATAGCATCCATTGAGAATAGCCCTATACGCAAATATGATCTTGCATGGCTTATTTCAACTCTCTAATTGCAATCTTGCAGTCTGTAGAACTGTCCGTATGGTATTTTTTCCTACAAGTTTAACAGTAAATTATTCTCTAACTAATTTTAAGATGTTAATGTTTTTTATTCTGTTGAACTCTACGTGCATTTTTCTAGACATATTTGCAACTTCAAGTTTCTTATTCTTAAACGTTTTGCACAGCAAAGTAAATTGTATTTGTAAAATTGAACAACCGAAATAGTGATGACGGCACTTAACTTTTAACATGGGATAACATTTGGATTTTTTAACATAGCATCGAACATACCATCATATCAACTTTGCATCGATTAAAATTTAAATTAAAAAAATGTAAAATAATAACTTATTTAAAGAAATTAAAGTAATTTTTAATTTATAAGCTAACTAGGGAAGTGTGACTCGCCAATTTTGAAATAAACTAGTGGGATGTATGCCTTATGAGGAATAATTCTGGGGGGCAACATACGTTTCGGCCCATAGAAGGTCCTATGAGAGATAAAAATAATTCAATATATAGAAAAATCGGTATTTTATTACTTCAATGCAGACTATTAGTTATTGTAATTGTCTCATACTCCAATTTATTTGTAATTAATTGGTTAATTAATTAATTTGCTGATTAATAAACTAATTATTAATTAATTAATAATTAATTATTAATTAATTATGAAATAATTATGAAATAATTATGAAATAATTATTAATTAAGTATGAAATAATTATGAAATAATTATAAATTAATTATTAATTAATTATTAATTAATTATTAATTAATTATTAATTATTAATTAATTATTAATTAATTGTTAATTAACTATTAATTATTCAATTGATTTGAAATTACATACTCCAATTAATTTGGAAAATTTCAAAAAAGAAAAAATTTAAAAAATTTGATGTCAAATTTTTTTAAAAATTAACCTAACATGTTTTTCTGAAAAGCTACAGATAAATAAAATTTTCGAAATAATTTTGACAATAAATATACATTATATAGTACGTGAAAGTACCACAAAATTAATTGGAGTATGAGATAATTACAATAACTAATAGTCTGCATTGAAGTAATAAAATACCGATTTTTCTATAAATTTAATTATTTTTTATCTCTCATCCTTCTATGGGCCGAAACGAATGTTGCCCCCTAAAATTATTCCTCATAAGGCATACATCCCACTAGTTTATTTCAAAATTGGCGAGTCACTCTTCCCCAGTTTCCCTTGTAAGCTAAATAAGCTAAGGAACTTCAGGGATAATATGCTCATAAGTAAAAAAATTACTAAATCTAAATCACTTCGAAATAGGTAAACTGCTAGTTTGTGTTAATTTTTTCTTTGGAAAGCAACATTTCTTACTTTTATCGGCGTATTCCACCCGTCTAGCTAAACTTACAAGTGCATTTTATATTTAAAGCTAATAATTTTTTAACTGCACTGTAGCTCAGCAAATCCATTTTTACTTAATTATTTAACAATTTATATTACATTTTAAATTATTATTTGGGAAAGAATGCAACTATGGGAATGCTTTTTAAATATAATGCTTAGTGATTTTGCTTATAGTGCTGCCATCTAATTAAAAAAACTAAAACTATATAGTGTTTTCAGCTATCACTAAGAGATGGCAGCACTAATGATTGAATTTCTCTTTTACTCATATGTAGTTATTTCACCTTCGTCCGTATTTTTGGATTTAAATAAATAATTAATATAAAAATAAAATAAAATAAATAAAATAAAATAAATGAAACAAAATAAATAAATAAATATAAAGTAAAATAAAATAAAATAAAAGAAGTAAATAAATTTGAAATTTGAAGCAAAGAGAATTTTGGTTTGAAAGATTTTTGCCAAATTTTATTCTGAGTTTAAAATTTTAAAATTTATCTTAACAATCATTGCTCTAAAAATGTAGACAAAATTAATAGATATCTCTCGGAATAAAATATGAGGATAGGCCTGTACGGACAATTTTCTATTTTTTGGAGCTTAAATGATTTATATTATTATTTAAACAATATGAAAATGGCAGTTAGTTTTTGACAATTAAGAATTTGTTTTAAAAATATAACCTACAAGAACAAAGTAAATTGAAATGATAAAAATGTATTCATACTTAAAATATTCAGATTCATTTTCTTAAATAAATTTTACTTCCGAAAATGCAAATATTTTTCATATAAATTTAATAAAAATGTGAGGGGACATAAAAAAACATTTTATACATATTTATAATATAAACTATAAGATTTGTATATAATGATGCATTTATATAATGCATTATTTCTGCAATGTAATATGTAATTTTTTATGCATATTTATTTATTTTAATTTTGTTTTTATTTTTATAATGTAAAAGAAATTTTTTCATTTAATGTCAATATAATATTTGAAAGGAATTTTTCCCTTTTCCTCACAAGAATGTAAAATAATTTCACATAAATGCGTGCACATTAATGAAAATAAATAATTTATTACTTCGCGTTTGTCAAACATTCATAAAAATCTTTTATACATTCAGAATACATTTCAGTAGCATCTTTTGTTTTTCCTAAGCATATCTCTTAGCATTCATCAGAGCTTCCGAGAGACCCTTTTGAAAATCGTAGCTTCCGTCGCTGGAGAGTGCCATAGCATTTACGCAAATGTACCACCAAAGGATTTTGACGCAAGATTTTCCTGGGGGACAACTGTAGTCTCCACCAGGACAGCATACAGCATTGTCGAATGGAGCGCACTTGTAGACCTGACTATCACCGTAACAACATCCTGTAGAAAAAAAATATGGAAAAATTAAATATTATCCAAGAAAATATCATTTGCGCTTTTCAATAAAAATAGAACGTACTGAAAATTGCTCAGAGTTTCTTAATAGTTTTTAGAATCATTGGGTGTACTGTCTGACCATTACGAGAACTTTTCAACTTTTCTAATAATTTCATAAAAAGTAACGATATCTTCCGACATTATCGTATCAAATACTTGGACTTTTTACAAAAAAGTAACTAAAAACAAGTTAAAGTATAAAAATTTAAAAAGTAACGAAGTGCAAGTAAAAGTACGTTTTTTATTTTTTTTAATTTTTATTTTTTTAAAACTTTTACTTTTGTTACCAGTAACGAAAGTTAAAGTTATGTAGTATGCTTATTAAGTAAGTGTTTTTGATTGGTTAATAGATGTATGCTTGCTTATATTATTGTACCAGACTCGTATTAAAAAGTATGAAAGGATTATAGCTGTTACGTTTTTCGGGAAGTTATGTAATGCTTAATTTAAGTTATTTTATTTCCTGCTTAATAAAACTTTCCGAAAGTTCAAAGATGAGTCTTAATTTTTATTTTGCTTGAAATTTTCCATTACCTACCCACTTAACTATTCCAGTAAATTCTCCCGCAATTGAAAAGCTTTAACTCTTCTTTCCATGGCAACAGACATCCTCATATCTACAGTCGCGAGGAGTTCTCGTAGGAGCTGAACAGTCTGTATTGAAATTTTAAAGTTTGAGATCCATAAAATTAATAAAGTTTCTAAAGCAAAGTCTAAAAGAGTTTCGAAAGCTAAATCCAGATAATACATGTAAATTTACGTATATAAGATGCTCTGTAACAAGGTGTATACAAAGTGTTATGCTTTTTTCTAAATGTTTATGTTCTATGCTAATGTCCTTCATTTGTTGTAAAAACTACTTTATAACAGCAATTTTTGTTTTGAAAAATTTTGAAGCTATTTAAAAATTTTTTCTAATTTCTCTTCTTCCGAATTTCTTTGAATGAAAAATCTAGTTTAATTAGACCTATTTTATACAGCCGGCAGTGCTTTTCGCTTTTTAATGAGTCAAATTTCCAGTTTCAAGTGAAACAAAAATTAAAGTATTAAACAATCTATAACAATTTAAACAATCTATAACAATTTAAACAATCTAATATCTCAAAACTTATTATACAGCTTATTGCCTAACCTTAAAAGCTGTGCGTAATAGTTCAAATGGACGTTTCTGGTACGTCGCAACGTAATTCATAGAATAGGTCACATTCATACATCACACAACGAACATCCGTGCCCTGAGGGGGATTCAAACCCGCAAATATTGGTTTCGCAGTCAGGTAAGCTGACTGCTAAGCCTCTTATCCGGCGTCAAATTTATGATCTAATTTTAATAATTTCTATTTTTCAAAAACTTCATCATCAATAAATTCGTGAGCATGTATGTCAACTGTACTTTTTGGTATTGTTTAAAATGAAAATACTTTTTTTTTTTGAAAAAAATATCTTCTTTCTCCTTTATTATTTTTTTAAAACCTTATATGGTTATAATTTCGTATTAGTTTTGCAGACATTATCTCATAAATACTTTTAGAAACTATTTAAAAAAAAAAAAAAATTTTTTTTAAATATCTTATTAAAATATAAGTAAAACGCAACATAAATTTTGATCTCTGGGCTCATTTCATGTACACGAGAATGCAAATATGTTAGAAATGAAAAGTACATTGAACTGAGATGTTTTGTCCAGAAATGATTAAATCAAAATGTCTAAAATTTGGTTTTCAGAAAATAAAGTACTGTCTAAAAAATACAACTAGAAATCTGAAATATAAAATTTGTCATTCATTAAATGATTAAAATTAAATTATGATTAAAATTTTTAAGGATGTAAATATATACTTTTAAATATGTAAATTTTTAGTTAAAATTCTGATACAATGCGCAAGTAAGATTCCTCGGATTTTAAAGCAAATACTTTTTCTGAAACAAAATCTCCAATTGTTAAATTAAAAAGCTTCTTTTTTAGCTTAAAAGATTATAAAATTATTGTAACTTGATTTAAAATACAAAAAAAATCACCTCTGAATATAAGAGATATCACCTCAGATATTCGAGGGGTCCCGCAGTGGACTGATCGTTAAGACACGGTTCCCACCAGATCACCGAAGTCAAGCATCACTGGCTGCAGTCAGTGTGCGGGTGGGTGACCACTTGGATCAGTCTGCGTAGGGACCGAGGGTGGTCGGTATTGGTCCTCGAGGACGGTATTGGTCCTCGTAAGTGCCGACTTCGCGTGCAGGTCTTCGGGCTACCGAAGCGGGGGAGCCATCCCCTCTGCGGAGGTTCAAAATTGTGATGGCATGTCTTCGGATCATCCTCAAGGATGTTTCCGAGACAGTCGCCAATAGCCTATTGTGCAGCTCTAGTGCGACGTAAATGAACTACTACTACTGGATTCAGGGATATTTTTAAAAAATAAAATATCAAAATTCTAAATTTTAATAAAAATAAGTTGAAGGTTAATCTGAATTACTTCCTAACATTTTCGTAGTGATTTCAAGTTGGAACTTTTGCTTCAGAAGAATTGTTTAATTAAGAAAGTGATTATATACACACGTTAATCTTCCTGATAAATAATAAATATTTGGATTTGCCGTATCCCAAGTCAGCTTCATTCAACTTTGTTTTTTTTTTTTTTTTTTAAATAATTCTATTATTCGCAAGTTATATATTTGAATATTTGAAATAGAAAAATATTATAGTTATTTTTTAAATGAATAAACAAATTAAAATTGGTTCTTATAAAAACAATAATTGAAATAATTTTGAACATTTTGCACTTAAAAGGCACCGGAGCGGATCCATTTAAAATTTAACTTCGAATTTTATAGCTCCTGCAAACTAGTGTCCATGCATCGCAATATGTTTCGATTTACAATTAATATGAAGTCTGGAATACAAAAAGTTTAGTTTGTAAGAAAACTTAAAACATTCTTATCTAACAAAACAATGATCTAGTAACTTTTCAAAACTAATAAAATAATTTGCTTAAAATTAACAAAATGATTTTCTGCAGGAGTGATAGTTTTTTTTTCATCCTGTTTTGAAACAAAATGGAAAAAAGGCTATTTAAAAAAAATGATCTCAACTCTTAAAAAAAAAAAACAAATTAGAAAGATTTTTTTAAACATGTGGAATTGAGTAAATACTATGATTTCTTTCCTTAAGGAAAATATTTAATTCATTTACCAAAAATGGTCATTTTCTGTAAAAACTCAACTCAAAACTTGCTGTAATGAAATTAAAAGAAAAGGGATACCAAGATTAAATTTAATTTACAGGTTGTGTATTGTGTAATTGTGCAATTAACTACATTGTTCAACTAGTCGTTCGTATTTTCACATTTTTAACATGTATTTTAATATATTTTATTTATAAAAACGTGTTAATATTTATTTAATACTAAATTCTAAAAGCGAATTCTTAAGAAAAAAGATTTTTATGAAATTTTTAACAAAGTTGGTAAACATCCTGAAGCTTTAAAACTGTCTAACCCTATTAAAAAAATTATGTTCAAACATTATATCATCTCTATGATGCGGCTTTTTCCTCATTCCTTTAGATTAAGAAAAAAAAAAAAAGATTGCTAGTATTTTTAGGATAAGTTTAAGAGAATTTGATTTTAAAATATTTTTATAGAGCAAGTAAAATAGACTTTAATTGTAAAAAATATTGATGTGTGCAAAAGCATTTTCGAAGTGTTTCTAAATTTTACTCACTGCCAACTCCAGGGCAAGATCCCCAACCACATGTCTCAGCAGCGGCCAATAATGCCAAGCACAGGACGCCAAATATTACAAGTTGTACCTTCCTACATAAAAATAAACGAACAAAATAGTTTAAATAATACTTCAGAAAAAAATAAGAATTATAAACGATTTATAAAAGTTTTTTTTGCAATGATATCAAATGATTATAATTTACTCAAAGAATGTAATTTATAATAAAAATGGAAAGGAAAAAAAAACGTTTTTCATTTATACTTTTCACTTACGCAGCTTACAGTTTATTAAAACGGATATCGCTGCACGTAGTAGTTTTTAGGTTATATTTACAGTTTTCGACTAATTAAATATAATGTTTCGCCTCTTCAGGAAATTTTTGTTCAAAATGTTGCGTTCAATTTGTTATTGTCATTGAAAATTAATAAAGCAGTTACAAAAATAAATTCTCATACAGGTTTTCTTTCATTGTAAGCAAATTATATTATTAAATATTTTTATTCAAACAAAAATTACATAGTTCTGTACCTACATTTCAAAGAATTAAAAGCTAATTATTTTTCTTCATACTTTAATTGACAGTTTTCATTAACAAAAGAAAGTCTCACATAATCTAACTTTTATTGTTAGTATGTAAATAATAAAGTAAATTTTTTTTATTCCATGAAAATTTAATTTTTCGTTTTATTTTTTTAATGTTCAATTATTCGTTTTAGCAGCTTGTTATTGCCATTGTAAGTTTTTAAAACAGTAACAAAAACTTTCTAAAAGTCTCATTTTCAATTTTAGCAAATGAATTTTTATCATTTAACAATACTTTTTATTGACAAGTTCTAGAACTAATTAAAATTTTTCTTCAAAATTTATATTAGAATTTTTCCTCAAAATTTAATTTTCATTGGCAAGAAAAACGGAAAAAACTCAGTATAAAAATTCTCATTTCACTCATTCTAAGCACTCTCACTTTTAAATTTAGCAATTGATATCATTAAATTTATATCGTTCTATAAATATAATAGTTAAAATTTTTTTTCAACGTTAAGTTGTTATCATCTGTGAACACTGATAAAGCAGATGCACACCGTCTTATTTATATTGCTGGAAAATTTATCTGATTATTTATTATTCAACAAATACTAAAATTTTTCCTCGTATGTATTAAAGTTTTAATTATTTTTTTACACAGAGTTGTTATTGACGATAAACGTTGAAAAAATGCTTTCAAAATAAAATTTTTTAACCGTCTCACTCTTACTGTTTGAAAACAATATCATCAAATCTTTACCGTTTAACAATTCTAATATTTTGCATTTTAAATCTTTCAATTTTTAATTGTTCATTTTCATAGTTTAATTGTTACTGCTATTTAACTTTGATAAATCTATTACAAAAATGAGTTCCAGCCAACAGTTACAAACGCTATCACTTTTAGCTATAGCAAATAATATCATTAATTTTTATCGTTCAACAGTGCTGAAGTTTTGTTTTATTTGTATCAAACTTTTAAGCCTTTTTCTTCTCTGCTTAAACCTTATTTCTTATAAACATTAATAAAAAATTTTGAAAAATAAATTTATAAACGTTTTTTATTTTTATAAATTATAGTTTTAAATCTTTATTATTGAAATATTTTAACTACTGCGAATAAAATATTTGTTATAGGATACCGTATAGAATTTCAGAGAATGTTAACTGAATGATACACATGTTTCTAACTATTATTCAGTGATAAATTTAATAATTTAGTTAACTTAAATAATTGATAGTGAAAATTGAAAATAATATTTGCAAATTTTCGAGGAATATGTTTGTTTTTATCACTTAAAAAGACGCAATTTTTGTTAACAATTTTACCCAGTTAAGGTACTTATGGAACAAAAATTCGTCGAAGTTTCCTTAATAACTTTATTTCATTTATTTTGTATAAAAAACTGTCGTTCATCACGACGTGTATTCGAACTAGCGAAAAATAATACTTTTTTATTCAAAAATATCTAAAGATATATAATAATTTTTCTAAAAAAGTTAATTGAAGCTCTATTTGAAATTAAAAGCTGGTATAATTTAATGAGAGAATTTTGAAAAAACACTCTTATATTGACCAATTAATTACTTATATTATTAAATAATAAATACTTACATGATAAAGTGTATATCAAAATTATGATTTTACTAAAGAAATTATTTTTTAAACTCTAATTAAGAATATAAACTGTCAAAATTTTATGAAAATATTAAGTAAAACGTTTATATATCAATTAATTAATTATATTATTAATTAACTTTTCAATAATTAAGTATATTTTCAATTAATTATATTATAAATTAATTATAGTATTGAGTCATCATATTATTAAATAGGAAATACTTACATTATGCAATCCTTCGAGTATTTTCAAGTTGAAGAATAATAGAGTAAATAAATACTAATAAATGCAGAATAATTGCTGTTTCCAAAGCCTCTGATTTATATAGTAAAACAACTTTGAAATTATCTTTGATAATATTAGATAAGACAGCTTGAATAAAGTATACAGTGAAAGTGCAACTAAAATCTCTTGTGTTTAGAACAATACCAGGATCTCTTATTTCAAGATAAAAAGAGTTCCTTAAACTATCTCATTGGTCTCCTGAAAATTTGGCATATTGCGTGCTTTTCACCAATAACGGAACCTTGTCAACTAAAATCCATTAATATTTGTTTTTATTGCTCTTATTCCTTATCAATTTGATAATAAAATTGATGAAATAGGTATCTTTTTAAAATAAATAAGTTGGTAAATATATATCCCTTAAATGTTAACCCCAAGAGAAAATAAATAAATAAAAAAACTTACCGAAATTATTCTTTTTCAATTATTTAAAAGAAACGGCAATAGTTCGATTCATATTAATGACATTTGCACATTTATGCACATTAATGACATTTGCACATTTATGCACATTAATGACATTACACTAATTCATATTAATGACATTTTTGCATAGTTACATGTTTATTTTACCTTTCAATAAGCCCTCAATAGAATCTCACTGACATTTAAAATGTAATAAAAGTCCTAATTTGAGTATATTAAATAAATAAATTCATAAGTGATAATGCAAAATAAAAATTATTGTTTTCAATATAAAAAAAGAAGAAGATTATTTTAGTTCAAATTAGTTACATTTAGAAATGAAATTTAAGAATCTTTTTCAAGTTAAACCCTATCATGCATAAATATTACTATTGTTTCAAATTACAGTGTTTACATTATTACATGATTATTTTGACTTTCAAATAGACCTCAATAGAATCTCACTCATATTTAAACTGTAATAAATATTTTAATTGGAGTGTAATAAATAAATAAATACATGAAACAAATACATATATAAATAAAAATGAATGATAAAACTTTTGTAAAATCCACTTCTTTATTTTAAGTGTTGTATTAAAAGCGTAGTTTTGAATTTATCACCATCATGAATAAAGAAAGCGAATTACCTTGTTTACAATAATACATGTCTATTTTACTTTTCAAATGGTCTTCAATAGAATCTCACTCACATTTAAAATACAATAAATATCCGAATTTGAGTGTAGTAAATAAATAAATGCAGAACATAAATAAATAAATAAGTAAAATAATAATAAAACTTTTAAAAAAAATGCACGAAAAATGCTTTATTAGCAACATAGTAAATAAAAGATGAAATAATTTTTAATCCAAAATCTTGCTGGAAAATACAAATCACAAAAGGTTAGGTTTTCATTTAACCACTTTTTCCACGAAATTTCTAACAGTGTACCACAAATTGCAATGTATAAATAATTTTTTTCCTAGATCAATAATGTAATTACCTTTATTCTGAACTAAAACTTTAAAATGTTAAAAAAAACAATGAAATAGAACTAAATAAGTTTTTTAATATTAAATTTAAGAGTAATTCTCTAAATATTGTTACTTAAAGCTGAATAAAAATAAGAAATTCACACCTAGACCTAAGCTTTTAGTTAAAAAATATAGCTAACTTTATACAAAATCTACAGACATAATCTCAAGGAATTCTATGATAAACTTATTTTTAATGCGTGTTAGAGAAATGAAATTTTCTCAAAATTAACTTTCTTCAGAAAATTCATTTAAAATGCAAGAAATTTTTGAAATGTAAAAAAATTTTGACAGAAATTAAAAATTATTAATCGAAAACTAATTTCTGGAAATGAATTTTATTTGTCTTAAAAAACATAGTTTATTTAAATAAAAGAAAAAGGGTTAAATACTCAAAGGATAACAAAAAAATAATTTTAGTTTCCTTTTCGGGAGTTAGTGTCTAATTTTGGTTTCGTCTGTCATTATACGAAAAAGTAGAAATAACTTCATTTCTAGGAATCCGAGTTCAGAAATTTGAAGGATTCCGAAAATCTAATGAACTAAAGTTTGCATATGGATAAAAAAACTATATAAATAAAAGAAAAACGGAATTTTTGTCGAAACTGCCTATTTTTACCCAGACGGATACTTTAAACCACTTTTTTTCATGTTTTTCTCATACCGATACTGAGGAACACAAACTATTGATAAAAATTTTTAACCTTTAATTGTATTATGAATTTGAAAAATTTCACATAATTGAATTTACAGGGTGTTCCGCAATTATTGCTCTTAATATATACTTTTAGAATATCAGTCCAGAATGAAGTAAAAGAAAAGATATTACACGAGAAAAATTATTGCAATTCACATAATTAAATTTACAGGGTGGTCCACAACGCTCTTAATACATATTTTCAGAATTACATCCCAGACGAGTTTTGTAATGAGCACACAAGCCTGCGAATGTGTCCGTGACAATAAATAAATGAACTCAACTAGGGTTTAGGTGTGATTTGAACCCGATACCTCTACGCTTTAATTTTATTATGTTGGGCCAAAATTGATTTAATAATTTTATTTATCTGTTGTTGCATCTATGTAGTAATAGTTAGGCTACTGATTTAGTTCAGTCTTGTCCAGGCATTTATGCAAATAAAATGCTTATTTTTCATAATTTTAAAAACTGGTAGATACTCTTTTGAAATTGGAGGAAAAACAAATAATCAACGACAGAAAAGTTAACAAGTGTTGGCTAAATAAAATCGAGGTTATTAAAATAAACACTTTTGCGTCATCTTAAGCTATACTAGAACTCTTAAAATTACCGACTTATGCTTAAAATTACCTAATTTTACCATATTTACTACCAAACAGTATGGTAATAAAAACCAAATATTTTTAAATATTTTTTCCAAAAAAGTCATTGCAAAGGGGCCTCTGTAAAAATTACCTTGTTTTTTGGTGTTCCCATAGAGCCAGAAACAAGGTTAATGCAACCATATTCTGATAGTTTTGGCCACACGTCTTTTTCTCAGTGTGTCTTAAAGTAATATTTAAATGAGGACATAATATAAAAGCCATCAAAATCTATTGAATCAATACTGATGAACTGAGACTGAAAACTTCAAAACCTGTTTGATGGCCGAAAAAGACAAAGAAGAGTTTGGAGGGGGGGGGTTATTAATGAAATAATCCTCCATTTTCGCTATGCAATCAAATTGGTTTCGATGAATTCAGTCCCAATGTAATAAAACTGCATTTTCAACTTCGTTTTCGACAAAGATTTTAGAAAAAAATTCCTTTATTAAACATTCTATTGAAATATGATTTAATTATTTCTCTTCATTTACTAAATTTAAAATAAATATATATGTATTTTTTCATATTTTATCTACATTACATGGAAGAGTGAATCTTTGAAAAATTATGTGATATTTGCATATACCTAAATAATAAAAAGTATTCAGATAATAATATCTTAATTAAAGTCTTACCCAACAATGCTGGAAAGGAAGATCTAAGATAACATACGAAAACAATTTCAATTAAGGAGCTATCCTTTTATTACATACTAGTTATTTTTCTTTACCTTTATCACATTCTTTTGCTTTCTTTAATTAATTTTCAGAAATTAAGCAATTATATAAATGGAGGTCACACTCATAACTAGACTATAATATTTACTAATAAATAGTTTAGAATTGTTTCTAAATTTCAGAATGCTTGCAGTATGCGCAGACAAAATCTACTCATCGCAATTTTTTGCGACAATATTATTATCAAATTAAAAAAAAATTAGTTTTGTCGTATCAAATTGTCAACAATAGATTACGAATCGCAAAATTTAAATAATTTCAAAACAAAACATATTTTTTATGGTTGCTAGGGTAGCAGACTTTAATATTGCCGCAAAACTTTTTCGAACGTATAATCAAATTTGTTGGTGCTTAGTAGAGAAAGTATCTTTGTATTGGGAATATAAATATTACGTTTTGGCGAAGTATTTTAAGGAGAATATCTTATTAAATTTATTTGATAAGTCTTATTTTTCAATACAAGGCTGCGAAATATTGTATATTGAAATAACATTAGCAAATTCAATTGAAATACTTCAAAAATTACATTGTACTAGGAGGCTTCGCCCCCTCCTCGCTGGCGCTCGCCATCTCCCGGAACTGCCTTCGCAGATCAATTCGGATTGCTTCGCATCCAATGCTCGCTTTGCTCGCTCAGTGGATATGTTCTTAACGTCTAGCTTTTGTATACTTTTTTGAATACTGAAGTTCCGAAAACTTTTCACTGTAGAAAATTCCAAACCTGTACATTTCAATATTAATTTGAAACTGCAAACAGTTCACATATTTTGTTTAATCACACTATTCTGAATTTCAATTGTTGAGAAAAGTAACTGTTGTAAGTTTTGTTTTAAAGTCTTTCCCACCAGAGGGCTAAAGCCATGTGTTGTAAAACAATATGAAATACAGTCAAACCCCGCTATAGTGAACCTTCAAGGGATCGAAATTTCGGCTCACTATAACCGGGTGCTCACTATATCCGTTACGCAGGCAATTTAACTAATGGTTCCCAAACTCCTTCCTTTTATTACATATTATTTAAATAAATGATTGAAAAATATTATGCAGTAGCCAAAAATGTGTTATTTTTCATTACTCTTCGTCTTACGTACAAATAAAAATTAGTAATCTTTAGCTGATGAGCAATCCTCAACATCAGATATGGAAACACTTCCCCTCTCTCAGATAATTTTTCGTGAATTTCTGTTATTCCGCTTTTTAAACCTGTCTGACCTGCCATTCGAGCACATAAAATTAGCCTCTATAGATGGTTTTAAAAATCGGTATATGTATTTATTTTGAAGTAGAAATTTCAAAATTATTGCAAAAAAAATGGGGAAAAATCAGTCGAAGACAGAAAAAAGTTCATTATATCCAACTTCCTCACTTTTTTGGTTCACTATATCCACTAAAAATAACATTACACGTGTATAGCAAGGCACGGGACCGAACATTTCGTTCACTATATCCGGGAATTGACTATAATGATTCTTTCCAAATACAGTCAAACCCCGCTATAGTGAACCTTTATGGGACCGAAATTTCGGTTCACTATATCCGTTACGCACAGCAATTTAACAAATGGTTCCCAAACTCCTCCCTTTTATTACATATTATTCAAATAAATGGCTGAGAAATATTATGTAGTAGCAAAAAATGTATTATTTTTTATTACTCTTCGTCCTGTATACAAAAAAAAAATTAGTAATCTTTAGCTGATGAGCAATCCTCAACATAAGATAGGGAAACATTTTCCGACTCTCAGATAATTTTTCCTGAATTTCTGTTGTTCCGCTTTTTAAGCCTGTCTAACCTGCCATTCGAGCAAATAAAAGTAGTCTCACAAAATCGCTTAGCAAATTCATCGACATTTGTCCAGATACTGGAAGATTGCGGCTTCTTCGATTGCTGAACCATTTCAGTAATGTTTCTTCAATATCCTTGTGATCTGCTTTTCTCAACTTTTTTTCTACCATCTAAATTTTTTTCATAAGCAGAAATTATTCATTGCCTATTTCTCCATGTGTTACAAACTGCAGATCTGGATAGTTTATATTCCCTGTAAATATCAGCTTGATTGCATCCATTTTCAATTTTTCTGATTATGCCCATTTTATCATCAATGGAGAACG